ACTTATCACCACCACAACAACCCTATTTCCTTGGATTATGACCTCACCAGCACGTGCCCTGTGCCAGAGCTGGAGCTGCTGCCGCATGCCCCAGGTTAGATTAGGAGCCGCCACTGCTGCTGCATACGTCAGACTCATCTGGCCTGCAAGGAATCCAGCCTGGATCCGGCCCAGGGCACAAAGTGTGTTTGACACCTAACTTTGCTGATACCCACTCTCAGATAGACTCCCTGGGTCCAGCCCTGACGGTACCAAATTTATTATTGTGCAAAGCTTGTATTACTTCTAAACATGTCTGATGCCACATCTGTGTGTCCAAAACATTGTGTAGACTTGGGGGCCAAGGGGGGATGGAATCTCCAAGGTGCATTTGTCTTGTTTGAGAGGTGTGATTTCACCAGTAGATGCCTATCCAATAGCAATCAGCTATATATTACTTCCTGCCTGATCTCCATGAACAATATCTCTCAAAGTTTTGTCTTAATCTTCCCTGTACCCTCACATGTACAATTTCAGCTCAAAAATGGCTATAGTACTCATTTGAGAGGGAAATTACCATCAGATGGTAAATGTGCATGCTCGAGAAACTATATTTTTCTGTTTCTGGTCAGTGAAATTGTTAGATGTGAAGTCACTTCCCTTTTTAATTATGATATCTTGTGCATCAAGTTTGTAGGCTCATCTTGTCCCCTCTCAAGGCAGTGCAGTTTATACTATTCACTTCCACTGGAGCATGATTGAGCCTTGTGTGTGTGTTTAGCATATAGCAGAATTATGAACAATTAGTTACTTCAAATATTATTCAGGAAATGTTCTTTTTGCCTTCTATAAAGTGTAACGTTTAACTATAGTATGTTCTGAGAATATTGACAGATGGGAGTACAGGTTTTTTTTAATAGTTGTAATATACAGTGAAGCATCATACAAGAAAAATCTTCTGGCATAACTATTTTTTGGCTTATGTTTTCTACTTTGAGGTGGGGAAACCTGTCAAACGAGAGATGAAGAGAATTCTTGAAGAAATTGGAGCTATTAAGTCAAAGGTAACACAGTTTTTATTATATCAGGTTAAGTGAGATGCAGCACAATTGCAAACCAAAAGGTCAGATTTGATAGTACATAGTGGCTGCCCTGCAATATACAATAACCACTAGGGCTGTTCAGAGCTTTGGTTGCTGATTTTGATTCGGTGGAGATTCTGAGAGATTTGATGATTCAAACATAGACACAGCTTTAAATGTTTTTTCTACATACCTCAAAGTACCAGGCAGCTTGTGGATGCTGGGGCAGATGGAGCATCCCATGGGAGCATGGGGGGGCCCCCACATGCTTGGCAGTGAACCTGGAAGTGGACCAGAAGCACTTCCAGTCCACTTCCAGGTCCACTGGGGAGAAAGCGGGGGACCCCCACCCCCGGCTCTGACTGGTGCCTCATGGGTCTGGGGGGGCACCTGGGTCTCCCCACAACCAATTACCACGGGAGGGGGGCCTGCGCGCTTGGCGGCGGACCCAGAAGTGGACTGGAAGTGCTTCTGGTAGGTGGTTGAAGTCATCATAGATATTGATATTTCTTGTATGGTCACAGTTATTAAGTAACATTATATTTTGGTGAAAAGAGTTTCTCAGAAGTTACAAGTCTTACGTGCCACAGTGGACACTTTGATAAGGTGTGTGCTATATAAATGAGACCTTGGCTTTGGACTAACAGTCATTTCTGGGAAAATAAATTTCTAAACAAACTTTTGAATGAAAAAGGAGTTGTATCACTTGAATGAAGTTGGACCTTTCATTGATTCTTCTATGGGAACTTACATACTCCTTTTAAGCAAGACTTGTATCTCTACTTATGCTGCTGATGAGATTTCTGGTTTGCTTGTTTTTTTTTCTCTTTAAGGGGAAAGAAGCTCCCTTTCCAAACTTTGATCCTTCAATTCTTTTTCCTAAATCTCGAGACTACTGGACTTACCATGGCTCCTTCACTACACCTCCTTGTGAAGAGGTCATCACCTGGATTATTCTGAGGGAACCTATTGTTGTCAGTCCAGACCAGGTAAACCACATCTACCAACCCATTGGCATGGCTTGCACTGAGGGGTATGATGAATGAGGTAGGATGAATGGCACACGCAGTGGCAGCATGCAGGGCCAGCCTGTCTTATCCTGTGGAACCTGTGGCCACAGGGGTCCCGCAGTCAAGGAGCCATGCCCCACTCACCCCCTGCTCCATGTTTAAAGGGCTCAATGCAGGGCTTCTTAGGCCAAGTGGGGGAGGAGGTCCCGGCTCCTCTCCCGCCCCAGCCCCAGCTCCGGGGAGGGAACCCAGACATCTCCAGCACATGCTGCCCCCACTCTGTGCCCCTTGTAGCACAGCCCACATCCACACATCCCGGCCCCAACTATTTTATTTCAGTGAGTTTATACCACAATTAACCACAATTTTGATTTTTTTCGATGGATTAGGGGGCCCAAAACTATATCTTGCAGGGGGCCCCCCAAATTGTGGGCCAGCCCTTTTTGGAGACAGGAAAACAATCTGTAAACTTTTT